ATAGATAGATAGATAGATAGATAGATAGATAGATAGATAGATAGATAGATTTTAGGATGGATAGATAGATAATAAAAGAGAATGACAAATGATAGAATTGCACAAATGGTGTTGCTGCCAACTCTCTGTCCCTAACCCTACCCCTTATCTGGCTATACTAAATGCAATTTTTTTGCTGTGCTGTGCTTCTATTCACTTATCGAAGAGTAATCCCCACTGGTTTATGAGACTTAACTGCTGAATAACATGCACATGTTTGCTCTATAAATTACAGAGGAAGGTATAGACTTCCTATAGATATATTATGTTACTGGCTGAACAAAACTGTGAAGTCTCACACCTGTGCACTGTATATAAAACTAGGAGTGAACATTCTATATAATCACTGAAGCCTCTGAACATGTGCCTTCCAGCTTTTCTGCTGAAATACTATAGCCTATATCCATGAGCGGCCTTGAAAAGCAGGGCAACATTCCAGATTTAAGATTTAGAAGAGAAATGAAATAGAAGCTGGGATAGGATTTTTTTTCTCCCTAAACCCAATGTCTTTGTTTTTGTTTATTACAATATAATAATACATTTATATTTTAATAAATATAAATGCATTTACATTTTATATAGACTTTTAGCATCCTAAAAGTTACTCAGTGTAGCTTTTGGCTTATCCTTGAGGGTGATTTAAGAGCAAGATTTTGGAACTCCAGCAAGCAGAAGGGTAGACATAGTCCCAGGACCAGATTCTAAACTGACTTAACTGGATCAGGGTTGAGCTGTACCTCAGACTTTCAGGAAATGTCTGCATCCTTCTCACAGGCCATTTTCCCAGCCAACATCACTAGATTGGAGAATCATTTGGCATCCAGAGATATCAAGGATGCGTTCCATTTTTTTCCTCTCAAGTATCAGATTTGCACTGGCGAAGTGTACAATACCTTGGCTGTTGGCCAACATCAGTCTTTCTCTAGAGGTTTATTCTGATTTCTTGAACTGTTGATCTATGACAATGATATTGCAAGAAAATTAGAAGAGATATTTTAGCAGCCAAACAAGGCAACACTTAAATACACATCAATCTCTTTACCTTGAAATCTAAAGTATGACAACAAAAGTAAGTAAGGAATAATATCTACCATGAAATCCAAGCTCCTTGTACCACTTTAAAGTAAGGGTAGAAAAAACATTGATCTAGATCTTCTGCTGGCAATGATGCTGTTCAATAATCTCCTCCTAGCTAAGCATACCCATCTATTTCAACCATTTGTAGATCAGCAAATATTTCTCACTCCTCATTCTTTGACCTTACAACAAAATACTGCAATTGAAGCTATTGATACAAGGAAGGATGGGGGAGGACAAAGGGGGAAGGAGCCAAGAATGGATGCCTGTACTCAGTTCTTGAGCTGAAACCAAATTCCTGGTCTGATCACCAATGATACAGTTACTACTTGCATGGATGCTCGGTGGATATACTCCAAAGTAGATCCTCAGACCCAAAATCTTTCCACTCCTATCTAAAGGACGCTGGAGGAACAAAAGTGAAGGAGAGAGAAAATATGAAATATAGTGAACAGAAGTCAGATTAGGAACACAGGTCAAAATCTGGTCAGCTACAAGTTCTGACTGGGTGATTTTGGGTCAGTCATAATCTAAACTACCTCATAAGTTCTATTGTGAAGCTAAAAAGGATAAAGAACCATGTATGTCATCCTGAGTAACCCATGGTATAAAATGTCATAGGTAAGTAAAAATTGACTCTGGTTCATGGAATTCAGAGGTAGAACCAATTGTTGCTGCTCCAGCTAGAATTAAAATCAAATGTTGATTACCAGCCCCTGTTTCTCCCCTTTTATGCTTGAAACCCCATGCTCCTACTAAAACCTAGAGTGGAGATCATCATTCCTGGAGTTCACTGCTGATATGGATCATGCTTTCTCCCAAGCTTCAGACCGATCCCAGAAGCTGTTGTTTTTTTTAGAGAAGAAAAGCAGAAGTTTTCTTTCAGAGAAAAGGAACAAGTTAATTTGCCAAACCTTCACCCTTCTTCTGAGCTTGCAATATTGATCATAGTTCCAGCATTAACAAAGAAAGAAATCTTCTGTTTATCAAAGCCTTTGGGATACTAACTCATGATTATACTTAAGGGAATAACTCACAGGCCATGCCCCCAAGTAGAAACAGTTGCCAAAAGAAATAATTGATCTCAGAGATAGGTCTAAAAGACAACTAGGTAGCCTCTTGGGCTATAATCTTTGAATTATTTACTTGGAAGTAATAATTTTGGCCCAGTGCTTAGCAAAACTGTCTATTTCTTGCTCTCAGTTTTCCAGTTGTTCCAATCTTACATGTAGGTCATCCCATTTCCACAATTATTGTGCCCATTTTTGTTCATCTCCTCTGGACCTACAACAAGGCCAGTGTCCAAATGTGAGTAAATTCAAGTGACTTTGTCTGACAGATGCTGAACAAATTCTTCTGCATGCCCCTGCAGAGGGTTCTCCAAGACTCTTCTACCCAGGACGGCATGTGTCACCTGAAATAGGGCCACAGGACAGCTATCCACTGATGCAATATGTTGATGAATTACTAAGTATAAGGAACAGCCTTCCCTGACATGACTCTACTTATTCAGCTGAATATTGAGAGGATGTATTAAAGATCCTACACCCAAGGAAAGTGAAGCAGGCTTGGGCTAGAAAGCAGACTTTCTCAGTGGTGGCTCCACATCGTTCAATAGGCTGCCCAGATGTGCAGTTGGGTCCTATCCTCCTTGCATTTAGGAAGGCCCTTAAAACCTTCAGAACCTAATAGACATGATGACAATGATGATGATGATGATTTATATTTTTCTTGCATTGTTTTAATTTTTGAGATGTTCTGGTTTTTTGTTTTGCTTGTATACACCATCCTTTACACTAAGGATAGGGAACCTCTATATTACTCTTAACATGTCAAAGCTTCAATATTTAGTGTTCCTTAACACTGGTCACACTGGCTGTAATTACCAGGAGGTAAAATAACAGACTGATAAAGACATCTGCACAGAGATATAGCTAAACCCAAGTCTGGTGGAAATCAATTATAATTAGCATTTTATTTGTTGAAGTCCTTTCATGGAACCTGCAAAAAACAATCAAACAGCATTGTTGCATATAAGGGCTGTGATTCCATAGTTTTCTTATTCTTAGAATAACCTCTTAATAAAAGTGACAATAGCCTAAACAATCTTGGTTTGCAAAGATGATACGTAATTTATGAAACAAAAATGTTATGCACACTGCATGTTTTGACTTTTCAAAGGA